GCGGGGAGAAGAGGGTTAATGCTGCTGTTAGTACCTGTATATTTGATTTTGCTCTGATGCTTTTTCCACAGGCTTTCTCGGGAGGATTTAGGTTGATCAGAAACACATCCTCAAATGAAGAAAAAAAAAAAAAAGCATTTTCAAGCCTCTTCAAGTTTAAATACGGAACGAAACAGTCTGGGCTCACAATGCTGAAGCATCATGAATAAATAAAAGGCTGTGGCCCATGTGCCATGACCCAGGATGCCAATGTACAAGAATCATAACGCCGTTACACTGTCGTTTCCCCAGGAACACTGTCACTGCTGCATGGGTGTGAAGATTTCTCTGCAATCTGCAAGAATCTCTATCTTGTCCCTTTGGGTGCTGTCTTTGTGTCAGAGAGCACAATGCCAGTTCTTCCAGCCTTTTGTCAGAAACAAATCCTTCCTGGCATTACTGTAATTTCTTAAAACTATTTTTACTGCGAAGTAGAATTCAAATGTACCAAAGTAGGAAACGAAGCAAATAAACCACACAGACACTGCCATGCAACAATAGACAACTACAGTTTGCAGTTACAGTTCACCCCTTTCTCTTGACTTGGTTGCTGCAGTTTGATGCAATACCAACATCCCCTCCAGACTTCAACATGCATTTTATTACTTGGAGACTACTAGAAGAGACATTGTATCTTAGTTTTGAAACCATATTTCACTTACTACAACTAAAATGTGACCAATGTTGGGCAGGCAAGATAAAGTTGTTTTATGCAATGTATACTTTTCTGTGCCAACATGATGTGCGTAGCACACAGTACGTACACACTTCCATCAGCTCAGGTTGTGACTTTTGCTCTGAAATATTCTCAGGCATAATCGGTCCATTTTAAGGTTCTGATTCTGCAAGGAGCTGAGCACCGACTTGAGGACGGGTGTGTGACATTCCCTTCTGTAATGTCATGCCATAGGGAGAGTCACTCTGGTGTCGTCAGAAATGCCCTAGATACCAATGAACAGTTTCTCACAGAAACTCTGGGCCTGATTCTGCTCTCACTCCTACCGGTGTAAATAGGAACTAAACCCAATGAGAGTGTATGTACAGTGTAAAATTTAAATTTATGGAGATATCCTATCTCCTAGAACTGGAAGGGACCTTGAAAGGTCATCAAGTCCAGCCCCCTGCCTTCACTAGCAGGACCAAGTACTGATTTTGCCTTAGATCCTTAAGTGGCCCCCTCAAGGATTGAGCTGACAACCCTGGGTTTAGTAGGCCAATGCTCAAACCACTGAGCTATCCCTCCCCACTATATTAGTGTAGTCCCACTAATGTCTGATTGGTTTAAGGGAGAGGAAAACCAGACTCACTATTTCTTTAAATCAAAATGAAATATCTTCCTGGAGGCTCTGCTGTAGTTCAACTACAAGTTATTGGGCTCCGGAGAGCAACCCCTGGATGAGTCCTGTGTTCTGATCATAACGATCCCTTCTGTCTTTACAATCCATGAATCTATTAATTCTGTTTCTGGCAGCTCACCTCCCATGCTCCTTATGGACACTCAGAAGAACTTCGTTATTTAGCTCCCTGTATGATCACGTCCTGGTCTAACTCCAGTTTCTTCCAGCAAAGCGTTTCTTGTGAACAAGATACAGTAACACAGCTCAGTCACTCAGCCCTTTCATTTCCTGGGAGCTGGCCCTTCTCCATGTGGTGTGAAGAAGAGTTCCCTTCCTAAGGATATGAATCATACCTCCAACTGAGCCTTCTCCTCCTCCCTGCTGTCTCACAGCTCTCCCCACTTCTGCTTGGATTTGTGGGGGGACGGTGTGGTCTAGGAGTGAGTCTGACTCTCTGTGAGTCCATGGGGCAAGGAAATCCCGTGTGCCTTGTTTTCCCTGTAGGAAAAATGGGGATAGCACTTACCTACCTCTCAGGAGTGTTGTGAGCATTAAGCATATATTCTCTGTGAAATACTTGGAGATCCTTGGAGAAGAGCGGAGTGATAGTGCAGCAGGAGCAAAATATCTGAAATATTTTGTATGTTGCTTATTTTCATGTTCAGTATCTTGCCCTTCCTGGCTGGCAGAAGTCATGGTCTTTTTCAGAGGAATTTTTGGTTCAATCCTGTCTGCAGTTATTTCTAAATATTTTGTGAAAAGTTCCAAGTAAAGTTCCTTTAATCACCACAAGCGATCAGAACCTCATGCTCCAAAGTCAGGACTCCCTGCAGCATATGCTGGGAGTTCTGACTTAGCAAGATGAGCATCACTTGCTGAATCACTGATACTGCTTTCTGCAGCACCCTGTGCTTTCTTGGGAAGGCTCTCGTTCATCTTAGGTTATGACCAAAATCTCAGTGCAAGGTGGTATGGCTGCAGCCATTTATTTTTCCCTTCTTCAAAGTAAGATCACTTGCCAAATTGTTTTAAAATAAGGAGGCATCAGGTGTTAGTAACAAGTCTGGGTGTTCACAGAAAGAACTTGTCAGCAGAGTTGTCTCTAAATAGGATATCTTTCAAAGCCTTTGATGAAGTGTTGCAGCTTTCTGCTAAAATTATTTATTATTATAATTTATTAGTATTAGTGTTCTTGAAGATTGGTGCAAGTCTATCCAGGTCCCAGTACATAAGAAAAGAAGCATCCATGAATGTGGGAACATCAAGGGCTTTTGTTGCATGGGATGAAGATACTGCAGCATTTCCAGGATATTAGGATTAGGTTTATGTTGTTTTCACGTCTTGTTTATTCTGGAAAAAAAAACAAAAGGAAACCATCACATGATGGATTTCATAGACAAAAAATATTAAACCTCCTTAATATTAATAGAAATATTCCCATTATTGGTTTAAAAGTCAATTAAAACAAGTTTGTGTGTGGATTTAGACCTTACCCTGCACTATTTTCAACCCCAACATTGCCATATTGGGCTGGTGCATGAGAATCAGAAAATACAACTGACTAGGCACTAAATCTGTTTTCATTGTCCAGGATCAGGGATGTGCAAAAAATAAAATAATATGCATGGCATATGAGATTTTAAAAATCCTTTCACTTGAAGTATCTGGGGTATTTTTAGTACATTGGATAAAAGAATTGTTTAAATTATGTGATTAAAAACCAAACAAACCTGACAGTGCCTCTCAACTAATCGGCTCTGGAGTCCTCCTCCCTCCCCCGAATAAACAGGACATGTGAGAACAACATAAACAAGTCTTCAGCCTGCCTGACCTTACTCATGGTATCTAATGCTTCATTCCTGCTCTCTGAGCGGATTTCTGCCCAGCTCTGGGCAAGGCACAGAGGCAGGGGTTTGCCCACAGAATCCAGCTGCAGGTTTGGGGCTTAAATTTCCCCCTCTCTGAGCCACTCCTGACCTCAGTCTGGGATACCCCATTCACATGACATCTGATCTCCCCACTATTGCAGTTCAGTTGCAGGAGATCAAACTAGGTCATGATGGTCTCCTCTGGCCCTTTAACTCTATGAAATCTCAGGGAAGTAAAATTTACTCTGGATATTTTCTGTACAAGACTGACATGTCCCTTAATGGTTTAAAGAAGGGATTTCCATATTACATTATTTATTTATTTTATTATGTACATGGATTGCAGTAACTCCTAGTTTGTGTTCATCCCCGATGATTACTGTGGTGGTTGTGAAGATGAGGTAGGTTGTGTTTTCTTGCCCTCCTTGAGTATTTATATAATGGGAGTGCACAGCTGTTTGTGTGTCATTTCATGAATGGTAAATAAAAGGAAGTACACTTGGCTCTAGATCTGTCATGCTTAATAGATACTGGAGAGAGACTCCTTAGGGCTGTGGGGCTTTTCTCCAGGAAGAGAAAGAGGAAATGAGATTTGTTAATAATTCTGGTAATTGTTTTCCTTTCCTTTTTAAAAGATCCCCCCCCCCATCTCAATAAGGGATCTGTCCGTCTATTCCTAATGCTCTTACTTACCTTTCCTTCTTGTGTCCCTAGTCAGCCACATTCTTCTTACAACCTGTGCTGGAGGGCAGGGCTCTTTCCTGACCCATGGGGGCTTCTGATGGGAAGGTTTCTCCCTGCACTAGGACCCTCCTTCTCCAGGCATGTCACCCCCTGGAATGTGGCCCTCCGGGCAGCCACCTAGCCAGCTCTTGCCTACAGGCCCCCTTGCCTGCCCTCAGCTATGAGCCTCACACTTGGAGTTGGGACTCAGTTATGCAAATGAAGGAGTTGATGGGCGGAGCTAGTGGCCCTGCAGAAGGTGCTGAGGGCATGGTATGCAACTGAAGGGTGGAGATGGGGGAGATATTTTGGTGGGGGCTCCCTATGCAAATGAGGAGGGGAGGGGGTGGGGCTTGCAGGGGGGGTTAAGGTTGCAGGAAGAGGGGGATGCTCTTTAACTGGTACCTGTGAAATATACAACTAAGAGAGGGAGGGGCAGAGGTTGGGGCTCCCCAAAGGGTGTTGGGTGGTAGAGCTCTGGAAACAAGGAGCGGGTAGGCGGGGTCTAGGGCAGATATATGCAAATGAGGTGGTGGGAGCGATGCAAATTAGAAGTGTGTGGGCGAGTTTGCAGATAAAGTCGGGGGGGTGCCCATCAGGGGGGTGGGCAGGGCTATGCAAATCAGGGCCGGGTGGGCGGGCCTGGGAGCACTGCAGCTTTGACGCCGAGGACCAAGCTATGCAAATCAATCCGTGGTGGGAGGGGCGTGGGACGTGCCTATTGAAATAAGTGCAGTGGGCGGGGCTGGCAGATGGGGCTGGGGCACGTCGCGCAAGTAAGGGGGGAATCGGTGGGCGGAGCTAGGAGCAGCGCCGCTGGTGCAGGGGGAGCGGCTATGCAAATAAAGCGCCGGGGCGGGACTTAGCATGCAGATGAGCGGGCGGGCACTATGCAGATGAGTGGGCGGGGCGGACAGAGTCTCTCGCTCTCCCTTCCCAGCTGCGGCCAGAGGTGCCGGGCGGCTGCATCCGGCTCGCGCGCAGCATCCGCACCAGCTGCAGCTCGGGCTCCGCGGGCGAGCAGCGGCGCAGGATGGCGGAGCCGCCCGCCGCCCCCCCCGGGTCGGAGGGCGAGGAGGGCCCGGTCCGCTTCGCCCGAAAGGGGGCCCTGAGGCAGAAGAACGTGCACGAGGTGAAGAACCACAAGTTCACGGCCCGGTTCTTCAAGCAGCCCACCTTCTGCAGCCACTGCACCGACTTCATCTGGTGAGTGCGCCCGGCCGGGGCCTCTCCGCCGGGACCCCCTGCCCCCCTCGGCC